TGGAATAGTTGTGGTAAATTATAGGAGGAGAAAAGGCAAATTAAGCTAGCTGTGTAAAGGCTTAATATTGAGTTCACCTTAAATTCTGAACCAGCTCCCATTCTTTTCTTTTAGCTTTACATTGTACATTCTCTGTCACCAGGTCCAGCTCCTCCCCATCACCCCGGTGGGACTGTTTGTTGTTGCAAGTCTGGCAGTTAAACACACCATTGCTCTGCCATTCTCAAATTCCGATCACTCACTCAATTTGAACAATCAGCATCTGTTCTTCTCCATCACCCTACATCCACTACCCCCACATCCCTCCCCTCCTCCCACCCCCCAACTTGTAAAAACTGGGGGCATTGTGTGTGAAGAAAAGGAAATTATGTTAAATCTACAAAAACCTTGGGTTAGGCTCCATTTGAGATATTGCATCAATTTAAATGCATCCTAATTTAGGAGGACCAAAGAAGAAATTTGCTGATACAATATAAGAGATCACTTGTCAAGAATGATCAAAGAAACTGTGGTTTGATCACAACCTTAATGGGAAGAGTGCACTGATAATCTAATTCCACTACTGTTGGAGCTATATCAAACATATAAATGACCAACTGAAAAACTAAGATGGCTAACTTGCTTATTACTAGAGCAGAAGAGTAGGGCGGCATGGTGGCTCAGTGGTTAGCACTGCTGCCTCTCAGCGCCAGGGACCCGGGTTCAATTCCACCCTCGGGCGACTGTGTGTGGAGTTTGCACGTTCTCCCTGTGTTTGCGTGGGTTTCCTCTGGGTACTCCCGTTTCCTCCCACAGTCCAAAGATGTGCAGGTTAGGTAGATTGGCCATGCTAAATTTCCTGTAGTGTTCAGGGATGTGTAGCTTAAGTGGGTTATAGGGGGATGCATCTGGGTGGGATGCTTCAAGTGTCAGTGTGGACTTGTTGGGCCGAAGGGCCTGTTTCCACACTGTAGGGATTCTGTGATGTTCTAAGAAACTTGATGCGTTTCACGAACATTTGCTTTTTTTTTCTTACCTAAACGTACTTGCCCTTTTAACAATGCATAAACAGATTGTTTATTACAATGCAACCTTAACATGCGTGCACTTTATGGCCAAGAGTGAGCCCACTCATTCACAAATTAAGATGGACAACATAGACAGTTCTGCATAAATATTACAAGTGGCTAAAATGAACAAAATCTGTTAATCACCAAAAAAATAAACAAAGAATTGCAGATGCTGGAAATCAGAAGGGTCACTGGACATGAAATGTTAACTATGCTTTCTCTCCACAGATGCTGCCTGATCTGCTGAGTTTTTCCAGCAATTTCTGATTTTTGTTTCTGTCAATAACCAAGGTGGAATGAGGTGACTTCGTCATTTCTTTTGGTTTTTGGCAATGTATTGTCAACCGGAGAAGATTAATCAATTGATAGCCAGTCAGTTAGACCTAAGTCTTTGCTTAATTGAGAAATTCTTCTTTCAGAAACATTGATTTATTTTTCCCACTCAGGATGAAAGAGACCTATCTTCAATTGCATGCTTTTGGAAGGTCTGAGTGCACCTGCCCCTCTTTCTTTAGACGGGCTACAACCTAACCATCCAAAAGCTGTTTTTAGGCAGTTTTCTTTCAAGCAAAAGCTACCTGATGCCTACTTGTCCCACAGAAATAATATCCAGCTACTTCAAAAGTCATGTCCGTAAGTGAACATGATACAATTTTGCTTTCAACTTATAAGTTCTTTTTTTAAAAAAAAAAGAAATCAACTGATTCATTCTGTGTATCACTGCAGTGTCTAAACTTCCATTTACCTGATTATATCCCAAATCAAATCTCTGTAGTCCTTGCAGAGGTGTCAGAATGAAATTGGATAAATAAAGAAATATTTCTGCTGACTGCGTAAGTAAGTTGAGATGACATGTTCAACACACCACGCTTAAGGCTAAAGAGAGATTAAGAGCCTTCATTCTTTACTCGGATGTTAGAATATGAATGTCTTTATATCAGAAATTGTTTTAGAAACTGAATCCATGATGCTGGTGTAGGGTATTTCATGCGAGTTTGATATTGAAAATAATGGGATAACTTGTCCACAAAGTCAGAGCAGGTTTATTGGTTAAATAGATGTCGTCATACTTTAGCTGAAAAAAGGGCTTAGGGGAGCTATAAGCGGGCAGGAGAAAACCTTGGCAGATAGGATCAAGGAAAACTCCAAGGCTTTTTACACATACGTGAGGAATAAGAGAATGACCAGAGAAAGGGTAGGGCCGATCAAGGATTGTAAAGGGAATTTGTGCACAAAGCCTAAAGAGATAGGAGAGGTCCTTAATGAATACTTTACTTTTCTTCGGTATTCACAACAGAGAGACCCAGTTGTAGAAGAGGATAGTGTGAAACAGGCTGGTAGGGTAGAGTAGGTTGATGTTAGTAAGGAAGATGTACTAGGAATTTTGAGGAAGTTGAAGATAGATAAGTCCCCCAGGCCTGATGGCATTTATCCAAGGATTCTATGGGAAGCGAGGGAAGAGATTGCAGGGCCTTTGGCGATGATCTTTTCGTCCTCATTATCCACGGGTATAGCGCCGGAAGATTGGAGAGAGGCAAACGTCATTCCCTTGTTCAAAAACGGGAATAGGGATAACCCCGGAAGTTACAGGCCAGTTACTCTTACTTCAGTGGTGGGCAAATTATTGGAAAGGGCTCTGAGAGATAGGATTTATGATCAGTTGGATAGGCACAGTTTGATTCGTGATAGTCAGCATGGATTTGTGAGGGGTAAATCATACCTCACAAACCTTATTGAATTCTTTGAAGAGGTGACCAAACATATGGATGAAGGTAGAGCAGTGGATATGGTATACATGGATTTAAGTAAGGCGTTTGATAAGGTTCCCCATGGTAGGCTCATGCAGAAAGTAAGGAAGCATGGGATAAGGGGAAATGTGGCAGATTGGATTCAGAATTGGCTGACCCTTAGAAGACAAAGGGTGGTAGTGGACGGAAAATATTCAACATGGTGCTCAGTTACGAGTGGTGTACCACAAGGATCTGTTCTGGGTCCTCTTCTATTTGTGACTTTTGTAAATGATTTTGATGTAGGAGTGGAATGGTGGATTAGCAAGTTTGCGGACGATACGAAGGTGGGTTGCGTTGTGGATAGTACAGAGGGCTGTTCTAGGTTACAAAGGGACATTGATAGGATGCAGAGCTGAGCTGAGAAGTGGCAGATGGAGTTTAACCCTGAAAAGTGTGAGGTGATTTATTTTGGAGGGACAAATTTGTAAGCAGAATACAGGGTTTATGGAAAGATTCTTGGCAGTGTGGAGGAGCAGAGGGATCTTGGGGTTCATGTCCACAGTTCCCTGAAAGCTGCCACCCAGGTGGATAGAGTTGTTAAGAAGACATTTGGTGTGTTAGCTTTCATTAATAAAGGGATTGAGTTCAAGAGCCGTGAGGTTTTGCTCCAGCTATACAAAACCCTCATTCGGCCACATCTGGAGTATTGTGTACAGTTCTGGTCGCCTCATTACAGGAAAGATGTGGAAGAAAAGATGCAGAGGAGCCTTACCAGGATGTTGCCTGGAATGGAGGAAAGGTTGAGAGAGCTAGGGCTTTTCTCTTTAGAACAACGAAGGATGAGAGGTGACTTGATAGAGGTGTACAAAATGATCAGAGGTATAGATAGAGTAGACAGCCAGAGATTTTTTCCTAGGGTGGAGGTAGCTATTATGAGGGGGCATAGTTTTAAAGTGAGTGGAGGTAGATATAGGGCAGACATCAGAGGTAAGTTCTTTACTCAGAGAGTGGTAGGGGCGTGGAATGCATTGCCGGAGAGGGTAGTGGAGTCGGCCTCGTTAGGGGCATTTAAGCAGCTATTAGATTGGCATATGGATGATAGTATAAAGTAGGGGTGGAGGTTAGAAAGACCTTAGGTTTCGGGTAAAAGTTTAGCACAACATGGTGGGCCGAAGGGCCTGTACTGTCCTGTTCTGTATTCTATTTCATAGATCATAGAATCCGTACAGTGTGGAAACAGGCCCTTCGGCCCAAAAAGTCCACACCGAACCTGCGAGCACCCACCCAAACCTATCTAATCTCCAAATCCACGAACACTACGGGCAATTTAGCATGACCAATCCACCTAGCCTGCACATCTTCGCACTGTGGGAGGAAACCCATGCAGACATGGGGACAATGTGCAATCTCCACAGACAGTTGCCCAAGGTTGCAATTGAACCTGGGTCCCTGGTGCTGTGAGGCAGCAGTGCTAACCACTGTGCCACCGTGCCACCCATTTGTACCATAGAATTGAATGAAGTCTAATTTCAGTGCAATAATAAATAGTTCAACCAAATCTTAATGATTTAATAAAATTGTTATTTCATACTTTAATCATTTGCAACTTCCAGATGGATGCATTTGCTCACCAGTGTTGGATATTCAAGAACAAAACCATCATTGGCCCCCATGTTACTGAAGATTTGAAATTGATGTTCCTTCCACGTCACTCAGGAATTTTTCAGTGCGTCATTTGTGTCTCCTCCTATCCAGTCTCGTCAGATGCCAATACAGTTGTCAGAGCAGAAGCGCTTGCTGTGAGAGTGGTTATTACAGCTGTGGCAGAAGATCCATTGATTGAGGTAAATAGCTCTAATGTCTAACTTGTGTAATACATATGTGCATCATTAAGGCCCTATTAATCATCTTTTGTTAAATCTTGTCACTAACTCAGCACATTTAATTTTGTAGTGCATTGTGTTATTTTTGACTCTGAAGAGCTTTTCAAGAGATTTGGCTTAAGGGGAGGAAACACAACAGTGACTCTCGACTAATGTTATTAAACCTCATTCCATCACATTTAGTCTTTCCTTGCTAGTACTATATAATGTTTTGTGGAATAATTTCCCTGTCTCTGAATGAGGAGCTCCAGGTTATCATCATGCCTAATATCCAAGTGTGTGCATAACGCAGCTACGCAGACCTGCAAATCCTTCTAACACATACCAATGGCTAGTGGTAAGAGTGGGAGAGATTTCTTAGTCAGCTATACGATGGAAAGATGATTGGAGCCTCTACCACTGCTATTCATAGCTACAGATTGCCACCAGCATGTATGTTGCAATTCTCGCTTGGTGTGAACTGTAATATTGCTTATAATAAGGATTCAGTCTTGCCAATAAATGCCCTTTGAAATAGATTGATCTGTTAGTAAGTCAAATTCTAGTTATAATCAGTTATAAGCTTGGATTTGTCATGATACTTGTGAAATAAATTCTAATGCTCTGTCCATTTTTCTGCACGTCCATGTGCTCTACTTAATTCTAAATGTTTAGTCAATGATAGCATATGCTTCAATTTCTTGTGCACAAAATATTGTGTACTGAATGGACAGTGTAGTGTTGTAAATGTATAAACTAAATGAAGCCTTCAAGAAGCCTTGAATGGAAGGTTTCTGTGGTTCAAATATTAGTTGAGTCCTTAGGATTGAATGGTGAAGTCAGCTGATCAGGATGTATGGTCAATTCCTATTTGTTTTATCTTCTGTCTGCTTCTAGGTTTTGGCAGGGAGAAACAAAAGCTTGGATTTTGGTGACTTGGTACCTGGCAGTGACAAAGCACTCTCTCTCAAACTAATCAACAGGACTCATTCCACTGTTCCCATTCGACTTGTCATCAGTGCAGTAAGTTTTCATTTATCTTGAGTCATTACTTGAGCAATTTATAATCATTTACAAGCCTTCTAGTCAGTCATATTGCACTCTTTCTCAACACCATGAGATCAAGTCTTTATTCATATTGCAGAGTGTTGACTCCAAGTTCCTCCTTGCACCTTTAGAAATTGCACATACACTTCTTTTAAAATTTATTTTTCCACAAAATGAAGGCACATCTGGCAAGGCCAGAAGTCTTTGCCTATTTCTAATTGCCCTTAATCTGCTGGTGGGTCACTGCAATCTTAGTGATTTATGCTTGCGTATAGTGCTGTCGTGGAGGAAGTTATGGGGTTTCAATCTTGTGATCAGGAAGGAGCATCAATATATTTCCAAGTCATGATGTTGTGTGACTTGGAGGGAAATTTGGAAGTTGTGCTGTTCCCTTCTGCCCTCGTCCTTGTAAATGGTGTAAATCTATAATTTTGGAGGTACTATAAAGGAAGGCTTGGCAATATTGTAAAAGGATTGAATGCTTAAAAATATTGGAGAAAATACCATGTGTAGGCTATTTTGTCCTGCATTATGTCAAACTTTTTGTGTTGTTGGAAGTGCACAGGTGGAGCTTATTCCATTACACTCCTGATTTGTGACTTGCTAGTATCTGAGAAAGAAGTGGTATTGCATGATGTGCAATTATGAACGAACATCCTTATCCCTAACCTTGGGTTGAAGTGGAAGGTCTTTGCTGAAGCAGTTGACCCTTGCAGTGATGTCATGAGGCTGAGATTGAAGCCTTAAATAACCACAGCCTTCAAGCTAAGTAAGACTCCAGCTGATGGCAGTTTATAATATTAGTTTAAGCACCTTACAAAAACCATCTTCTTGTTAATTGAAATCCTAAAAGCGTCTTCTGCCATGAACAGTGTGTTAACCTATAAGGTGTTGGAGCGCAATTCGGCCCATTGAATCAGCTCTGCCGTTCATTGAGATAATTGGTTGGTTTGATAATCCTCCAATTTACATTCTTGCCTTTTCTCCATAACCCTGATTCTTCTACTGATTTAAAAATCTTATTTCAGCCTTGCATATTCTTCACTCCAGCCTCTATAGTCCATTGTGGTAAAGAATTCCACAGATTCATTACCTGCTTGAAGAAGAAATTCCTCAGCTGTCTTAAAAGGATGATGTCTTAATTTGAGATTATGTCCTCTGGTTCTAGACTTTCCTACAAGGAAAACACCCTTTCCCTGTTTAGAGCTGGGGGACACCCTTTTCACAAGAGAGTGGTTTGTGTGTGGTATGAACTGCCAGAGGAAGCTGCAGATACAGTTACAACATCCAAAAGACATTTGGATAAGTACGTGAATGGGAAAGGTTTGGAGGGATGTGGGCCAAACACCGGCAAGTGGGGCTAGTTGAACTGAAGGGTCTGTTTCCATGCTGTATGACTATCCTGTCAAGTCTCCTCAGGATTTTGCATGTTTGAATAAGATTGCCTGTCATTGGACCTGCACTCACTGGATTTCAGAACAATCCACTCGATCATTCCTCGTAACCTCCATATCTGACATCAACAGAGTGAATGTTCAATTGACTGCCTCCAATATAAATTCACTTAAATAAGGGTGTAAAACTGTTCACAGTTTTCTGGTTGTGGTCTGACTAGTGCCTTGTGCAGCTTCGGCAAGCTCATCCCAATGTTTATACTTCATTCCCTTTGAAATAAAAGCCATCAATGAATTTACCTTCCCTATTAGTCACTGAACTTGAATGCTAGCTTTTTGGTGACTTTTGTGCATGAAGACTCACAAATCCCACTGTGCTGCAAGTTTCCACAGGCTTTCTCCATTGAAATAATCGGCTTCTCTAAAGTATATAACCTCCCATTTCCCCACATCATATTCCATTTGCCAAATTATTGTTCACTTGCTTAACCTATGACACCAGCGTCTTGGTGTCATCCTTACCTTCCCACTTTTATTTTTATCATCTGCAAATTTGATGATAGTACATTTACTTCCATCACCCAAGTCATTAATATATATTGTAAATAATTGTGGTGTCAACACTGATCCCTGTGACCATTCACTGCCCTCTAGAACAAAGAACAAAGAAAGAAAATTACAGCGCAGGAACAGGCCCTTCGGCCCTCCAAGCGTGTGCCGATCCAGATCCTCTATCTAAACCTGTTGTCTGTTTTCCAAGGATCTGTATCCCTCTACTCCCTACCCATTCATGTATCTGTCTAGATACATCTTAAATGATGTTATCATGCCCGCCTCTACCACCTCCGCTGGCAACGTGTTCCAGGCACCCACCACCCTCTGCGTAAAGAACTTTCCACGCATGTCTCCCTTTAAACTTTTCCCCTCTCACTTTGAAATCGTGACCCCTAGTAATTGAGTCCCCCACTCTGGCGGGGAGAGAAAGCTTCTTGCCATCCACCCTGTCTATACCTCTCATGATTTTGTAGACATCAATCAGGTCCCCCCTCAACCTCCGTCTTTTTAATGTAAATAATCCTGATCTACTCAACCTGTCTTCATAGCTAGCGCCCTCCGTACCAGGCAACATCCTGGTGAACCTCCTCTGCACCCTCTCCAAAGCATCCACATCCTTTTGGTAATGTGGCGACCAGAACTGTACGCAGTATTCCAAATGTGGTCGAACCAAAGTCCTATACAACTGCAACATGACCTGCCAACTCTTGTACTCAACACCCCGTCCGATGAATGAAAGCATGCCGTATGTCGTCTTGACCACTCTATCGACCTGCGTTGCCACCTTCAGGGTACAATGGACCTGAACACCCAGATCTCTCTGTGCATCAATTTTCCCCAGGGCTTTTCCATTTACCGTATAGTTCGATCTTGAATTGGATCTTCCAAAATGCATCACCTCGCCTTTGCCTGGATTGAACTCCATCTGCCATTTCTCCGCCCAACTCTCCAATCTATCTATTTTCTGCTGCATTCTCCGACAGTCACCTTCACTGTCTGCTACTCCACCAATCTTAGTGTCATCTGCAAACTTGCCAATCAGACCATCTGTACCTTCCTCCAGATCATTTATGTATATCACCAAACAGCAGTGGTCCCAACACGGATCCCTGTGGAACACCACTGGTCACAGTTCTCCAGTTTGAGAAACTCCCTTCCACTAACAACTCTGTCTCCTGTTGCCCAGCCAGTTCTCTATCCATCTAGCTAGTACACCCTGGACCCCATGCGACTTCACTTTCTCCATCAGCCTACCATGGGGAACCTTATCAAATGCCTTACTGAAGTCCATATATATGACGTCCACAGCCCTTCCCTCATCTATCAACTTTGTCACTTCTTCTTCAAAGAATTCTATCGAGTTGGTAATACATGATCTTCTTCCCTGCACAAAACCATGCTGCCTATCACTAATAAGCCCATTTTCTTCCAAATGTAAATAGATCCTATCCCTCAGTATCTTCTCCAGCAGCTTCCCCACCACTGACGTCAGGCTCACCAGTGTATAATTACCAGGATTATCCTTGCTACCCTTCTTTAAACAAGGGGACAACATTAGCAATTCGCCAGTCTTCCGGGACCTGGCCTGTGCTCAAAGATGCTGCAAAGATATCTGTTAAGGCCCCAGCTATTTCCCCTCTTGCTTCTCTCAGTAACCTGGGATAGATCCCATCCGGGACAATCTTTTGTCATTCCACTGTACTTAACTTACTTCACCCGTCTGATGTTGGTTAGCAATGATTGTGAATGTATTTTTTCTGTACAGAATGCTGCTGCATGGAGATGTTTTACATTTTCCAAGCCTGATGCATTAGCAGAAACTGCACTGAGGACTGAAAGCACCTCTCCATTGGTGGCCCCATCAGTCATGAATCATGTGATGCAAGCCAGCTATGAAGGAGAGGTAATGAGAAATTCTGCATGTTAGGTTGAATGTGTGCTCTTATATTGATCTTTAAATCAAGGCAGGACTTAGACACTTAATGGTAAGGTCCTAGGAAATGATGGTGAACAAAGAGACCTTGGAGTGGAGGTTCATATTTTCTTAAAAGTGAAGTTGCAGGTGAACAGGATAGTCAAGAAGGCATTTGGTATGCTTGCCTTTATTGGTCAATGTATTAAGTACAGGAATTGAGAGGTCATGTCGCCTTACAGGACAGTGGTTAAGCCACTTTTGGAATTCTGTGTTCAATTCTGGCCTCCTTGATATAGGGAGGATGTTGTGAAACTTGAAAAGGGTTCAGAGAAGATTTACAAGGATGTTGCCGGGGTTGGAGGGTTTGAATTGTAGGGAGAAGCTGAATAGGCTGGGTTTATTTTCCCTTGAGCTTTGGAGTCTGAGAGATGACCTTTTATAGAAGTTCATAACATCATGAGGGGCATGAATAGGTTGAATAGCCAAGGTCTTTTCCCCAGGGTGAAGGAATCCAAAACTAGAGGGTATAGGTTTTAGGTGAGAGGGGAAAGATTTTAAAAGGGAACCTAAGGGGCAGTGTTTTCACGCAGAAGGTGGTGCATTTATGGAATAAACTGCCAGAGGAGGTGGTGGAGACATCCGGATGAGTACATGAATAGAAAGGGTTTGGAGCGATACGGGCCAAATGGCACTAGATCAGTATAGGATATCTGGTTAGCTTGAACAAGTTGGACCGAAGGGTCCTTTGCCGTGCTGAACGTCGCTATGGCTGTAATCGTAGTTTTTATTCCTGCCAGGATAATTTGCATATTTTGGAAGTGTGTGCTGTAATTAAGTGTGAAGAAATTTAAATGGATTTATAATTTTATACATTGTTTAATAATCAGCTGTCTACTTGATTTGAAGCCATGTTTGGAGATATTTTCCGATACGCCACTTGATGACTCTTCTATTCTACGTATTGGTTGTAAAAAAAATGTACACATGTCGAACCACTGAGCAAAATTGTGTTGCTGTGGGTAGATATTAAGTATAGGCCAGTCACGTGCTATAAAACAGGCAGTTCATATTGCCCTACATACTTTTATACGGCCATTGAATGACGTTAGTAACATTGCAAGCCCTACAGTTCTAATTGAAATTTAGGTGAACTACAAACCATATACTGTAGCGTATCTGCACCAGTGATCATAAGAACAGCAACTGCTTCTGCATTTCTGTTAGAAGGTTATCGTGTTTTGTGGATATTAAATGGAATGTTCTGTGTGTCCATGGATGATACCCATAATCGGCAAGAAGCACTAAAGTGATGACTTTGATCCTAGGTATACCTTTTCGAGGAAAAAAAAATTTACAAGAAACCACTAAAATTGCAGATTCTGATCAACCAAAACAGTCAAGATTACTGTCTTCACTGAGTGCCAATTACTCTTCAGAAGTGGGAGTAACTATGACTTTAAGTAGGTCTTGTAGTGAGGCAATTTCTGGCTCATTACCTCCAATTTTTTGTGTATTTTGCGATTACAATATATTTTGCTGGTTGCGGTCTTAGAACTGCTTTGTTGGCCTCATTAGTAACAACAGCAGTGATCTTATCACTGGTTAAATGACTCTCAAAATAAGGTAGCTGTTGATCCACTTGGATTGGATACCTGTATCAGTGTTTGAAACAAAATTGAAGGCCTAGGTTGCGTGCAAAACTGGATGGGATGTGTCCAGGATAAACCACTTTCTTGCATGTGTGTATGTAGCAGTATTCTGCACTAAATGTCATTGGTACATTAGCTCCAGGTCTGCTATTGCTGGACCTGGTATGGTTTCCTTGTGTACACAAACCTGTAAAGGAACCAAGATCTGTACAAATTTTTTTTAAACTCCTTTTTGCACGAGCACACTTCTCTGGAGGGTAATTCACATTCAGTCATAACCCTTCTGGAACAAGAATTACAAAAATTTGAATGTGGGACTAGCAATTGCAAATGAGAGTTGTAGAGGAACTCGGCACCAAACCTCAAACATGACAACCTATCCAGTGGGTGGTGTTGTTGAGCCTTGAACAGACAGACTGTCTTTATGCAGAAGAAGTGGTGATTCATGACCTCGCTGATAAGGATATATGTACACTCTGCCTCATCCCAAGGATTGACTTTTTTTTTTGAAGACACACGCACACACAGCCAAAAAGCACCAGGTTAAAGCCATTTATTGTGGCAGTTGTATGCATGTTGCCATTAATGAGTTGTGGCTCCTCATTGGCCCTGTCGACGATAGTGATTCTGATTGCTACTGTTGACCAAACAACGAAAATGTGAGGCAGCTATTGATCTGTCTGATCTGATACCTGGCAGCTCCTAAGTATCAGCCTTCAAGAAAACAGGGTTCTAGTGGCCTATTTTTAGTTTTAGCCTTCAGTCGCAGTTGCTGGGTCTTGAAGCCTGGATGTGGAAGCTCTTATTCCTCTTCGTTACAGGTTCTCTTTCTGCTGCCAGAATTGCATATGAGACTGAATTTACTACATTTGCCTTGGCCAAGGGTGTGTTTATGGGATGTTACCATTTTGGAAGCATTAATTAGTAGTTGTTTATATATATTATTTTGTTAAGCATTTTGATAGAGTTAAACGTGTTCTTTTCTTTTTATTTCTTTTTGTTTGTATTTTAATTGTAGTATATGAATAAAGAGTGTTTGTTTTGTTTCAAGCTTCGTAGTTTGGCCAATTGAATTGCAGCTGGAACACACCTTACACTTAGTCTTGACCCTAACTTTTTTTTTATTTTAAAGCTATCTTCTCAATATATTTTGAGGGGGTTCGATCCGGTCCATAATGTTAATGCCACAGTCCATTATGAGGATGATGATATGGAACTGGGAAGAGGATAAATCAAGAGAAAAGTTAAATATAAACGTTTAAGATAGGAAATTTATGGATCTAACCAGAGGTTGTGAAGTGAGATCCCGGTTTTGTTTTGGGCACCAGGGGCAAAATGCCAGAGGGTAATAACTGCTCAGTGGCCTTTCCTAAAATCAAAAGAAATGAGTCATTTACTGTGCAGCCACCCAGACTTGCAACAACACTTTTATGCTGAAAGTGTTGCAGATTTTCAGTGATAATTAAAGACTATACTTGGGAAAAAGCTCGTTTACTCAAGGACGTGCCTTTCAAAATGTCTTTTATTTTTAAAACGTCATGTGGAATATAGGTGGTGTTTTGATTTCTCATTACTTCTGTTGGTTCACCTTTTACACCTTACAGGAATGCTACCAGACCGGTCCCTTTATCTGGTTCGTACTTGGTTGGTTGTTTACTTTACTTTTCTTCAACTTGGTCGACCAATAGATGTTTTCCCTGCATCAAGCAGTATACATATTCTCTAAAATGATTATTGATGTGTTAAAGTGATTAAAGGTTTGCTCAAGTGTAAAATAATTTAATGTGTGATTTTCCCCCTCTTTGGTTAATTTTCCAGTGTGCCATGTACAGTATTACAAGATTCTAAGTTTGTCTGTTTTTTATTTTTTAAACAGGATCCTGAAAGTTTTATTTTGTGGGTTCATTTTCATGCTCCGCAAAAATACATCAGCAATACAGGTATTTATTTCTTTTTGCTGTTGGAAATGTTTCAACTAGCTGAATCCTAGGTGTTTTCCTTCAATTAATTATCTATAGCAATGACTTGAAGGAATAGATTGTAGTGCAGACAACTTTGCTGATTATTTTAAGACAGATGGGAAAGAAAATTGAGAGAAGATACAAAAAGTCCGCAAAGGATATAGATAGGTAAAGTGAGTGGGCATTACGTGGCAGCTGGTGTTTAAAATGAATATTTGAGGTTATCCACTTTAGTAGGAAGACTAGAAAAGCAGAATATAATTTTAAGTGAGACTGCAGAATACTGTGGTACACCAGAATCTGGGTATGCTACACTTATAGGACAAAGGGTACATTTAAGTATAGCAAACAATCATAAATGTTGGCCTGTATTGCAAGCAAGTTGAAATACAAAAGTAGTCCAGTTTTGTTTTAGACGTAAAAGGAATTGGTGAGACAAACTCCTCCTTCATTTAAGGATACCAAACCAATGTGTGAGGGGCATTTGAGAGAATTTTCACCAAGTTGGCTCTTAGGATTGAAGGTGTTGCCTTATGAGCGGTTGCATAAAATGGCCATCTGGTGTAGATGAATACCTGATAAAAGACGTGAAATTCTGAGGGCATGTTTCCCTTTGTAGGGGAATCTAGAATTTTTTTTTTATTATGAGGAATTGCCCTTGTAATTCAGATGAAGGATTTCTCAGCAGGTCCTTTTGACTGCAGGAGAATGGAGGGTTATGGGGAGCAGATTGAAATGAAGTTGAGGACATGATCAAATTAATCATGACTTTCACAAATAGAGAAGTAGGATTAAGGGGTCATGTACCTCTTGCATGATTTTGTGGCAAGTCAAGGGATTAAAATTATAGAACTACTTCCTGTTAGCAGCAGTGAGGATGTGTCTATATTAGATGGACTATAGCAGTTGAAAATGATAGCTTATTACCACCTTAAGTGTAATTACAGATGGACAACAACCGCTAGCATAGTCAGTGATGTCCACATCAAAAAAGAATGTTAAGGGAATTATTTGCATGTTAGACGTATGCCTGAAAAAAAGGAAAAGGAACTTTTAGATATTTGAAGAAATGTGATTGGCACCATGACATTTTATAGCTTTGATCCTGGTTGCTAAACTAAAGCTAAGTTGGTTTTAAGAAGGCATGTGTGTTCCTGGGTTTTATTTTTTTTTAAAAAGAAACAAAAAAGTAATTGTGAGCTTGTGCAAATATTTGACTTACGCTACGTATAGAATATTATACCCTACTT